CAAGCCACAGACACTGCTGGCACTGTGAATCACTCCTCACTATCCCCATCACCGGGCTTTGCCTCTCAGATGGTTGCTTGGTTAAAGCACCGGTTTTTACCTTCCTCCCCTTTTAACTGCATGTGGGCCTCTTGCACCTCTCGAGCTCTGTTGAGTTTTCAGCACTTCCCTTGCTGCTGCCGTTCAGAGGTCCTGGGTGTATGAACAGCCAGAGAGCACCACCACCACCACAAACCAAACGAGACAGCCTGCTTTCCCAGAAACATCTTTTTATTAAATCACATCTTAAAACCTAGAAACATTAATCTGAAACCTGGTTATCATACACGAAGCAGCAGATAGCCTCAGAGAAACACACTGACGGAGGCAGTAGAGATGGCAAATGTCTCCCATGTCACAGCCAGGTTTGCCCCTTGCCTGACATCCAGCCAGAAACCACCTCCAACACCAGGGAGAGGACTTTGGAGTATCTCCCTTTGGACTTCCCCAAGCAGCCAACCTGCTGGTCCAGGGCCCACCAAGACCTCAGTGGTTACGGTCTTTGCATTCAAAACTCTCCACTAACTTTAAGACAGTTGGGGCCCCAAACCAGCACGTCCGGATTGAGCTCTCTAACCCAGAGGCTCTCTCAGGTCAGCATTTCAAGCTCCTCATGCATCTGTTCTGCCTTCAGGTTCCCGCTGGGCTGAGCAAAGAGGGACCCGAGTGCTGGGACTTACCAGGGGCTCAGCCTCACCCGGGATGGATGCACCCACACAGCTTTGCACTCAGGTTTGGTTCTGGCCAGGTCCCTCTGAGCTCAGCAGAGCAGAGGCAGAACCAGGCACCAGAGTGCTGTGTCCCCACAAGGCTTGTCAAATGGTCGATCACTGTTCACACTTGGGGGGTTTGGGGATGTTTCTCCCTGTTGACCTCTGTTTCTTTCTTTCTCTCTCTCATTAGGATGAAAGGAACTATGAGGGTGCTGAGGCGCTGGCACAGGGTGCCCAGAGAAGCTGTGGCTGCCCCATCCCTGGCAGTGTTCAAGGCCAGGTTGGACACAGGGGCTTGGAGCAAGCTGCTCCAGTGGAAGGTGTCCCTGCCCGTGGCAGGGGTTGGAGCTGGAGGAGCTTTAAGGTCCCTTCCAACACAAACCAGGCTGGGATTGTATGAGACATCCCAGTTTCGGAGCATTACCAGGTGTAACCTTCTCCTCTACATGACCAGACTCATTTTCAAAGCCTGCACCATTACCTTTTCCACTCATTACTCCCGTGTTTGGTTTTCTGTTCAGGAAGCCAGTGAGGCCTCCTCAGTAGCAGCTCTGCAGCAGCAAAGGGAACGCTCACAGCTGAGCTGGAAATGACAACTGGTGCCTGGACTCCGAGGGGAAGCAGTGAAAATCCCAAAGGCCGTTTTCTGCCAGCCCTGCCAGAGCTCAGCTATTTCTGTGCTCGGTATCACCACTGAAGTCAGCCCAGTTCCAGGAATAGAGTTGTTAAAGATCAACAGGAAACGGACAGCAGAAAAACTACAGTCTTGCTCATGCGGGTACGACTCCAGCCTCATTTCCTGGGATGAGGAACACCAAACTCGCTTGGTTTTTTCAGTCATCCCCATCTTAACACCCAGCAAAACCACATCTCAGCACAGTGAGCACAGAGATCCTCACTCAAAGGGCCTTGGCTGGCTCATCTACGATGCTTTAAGGGTATTTTGAATGAGGGTAATGAAATCTGTTCTGGAATTCCCAGCTCCAAATTAACAGGATCTGTAGTGGTGACTGTATCCCTGCAGCTGTTTTAGCACTAAAAAAGGGAAGAATTACCCCATAACCTCACACTCTCTATTGAATACCATGACGTGCATCTGTGCTGGTCCCAGCCAGAGGCCAGGGTGCCGGCAGCAGTGGCCAGCCTCTGGCCGGGTGCTGGGCATGCTGCAGTTTGACTGCCCTGGTAAGGTTGCTCCCCAGGTACAACCCTGTACAACCACAGGAACACAGAAACCCCATGGACCTGGCAGCCAGGCAGCACCGTGCCCATGGCTGTGGCTGTAGGGATTCAGGGAATCACCGGAGGGGCTTCCCCATGACAGGATGAAACTTCCCTCTGCTCGAGGCTGAGCAATGCAGGTGGAGGCTCCTCTTGCTCCAGGTTTATGGAGCCATTACTGCTGTGATTAAGCACCAGTTCCTTTGGCTGCTGAGATAAGGAAGAGAGACTGAAGTGCCCAATTAAGTACCGAGATATGGCCTGGCTTCCCGCTGTGCCAGCCCTAGATCTGACCTGACCTGTGTCAATGTTAAGGATCCTCTAAAAGCAATATAATAAAGTGAAAAATTACTGGGTTGTATTAGTTGAGATTTACTAAACATTTATAGCAGAATGCAGCTCGGCTTTCCTTCAGATGGAGTCCTACATGTAAGGTTTGTTCCCTCCAGCCTTTTTCTCACACTGATGGCAGTATGTTGGGCTGAATTTATTCCTGAATCAAAGCAGCTCCTGGTTCCCTTCAGTCTGACAGCTCGTGCACAACCCTGGCAGGAGACAGCCAACTCTAGTATCTCACTGTTATTTCTGCCAAGTGCAGGATCACCGGGGAGGAACAATGCTCACAGCCATGCTCATGGTCATTAAACCACCCTTTACTCAGTTCCAGTTTGTGGTGTTATTTCCAGGCTGACTTGTCATCCAGACCAGAACAGTTTCCAGCTCACTTTTGGCTTGTGTTTCCACAACTTAGAATTCAAACACTCCCACGGAAGATGCAGAAAGCCACGGATCCTCTGGGAGCATGGAACAAAATACAGGATTCACAACTTTTTACAGGTGCTGTGGAAAATGACACCGCCACTGGCTATCCCTTGGGAGGATACAGGGATATCTGCATGGCATCCTTTGGGAAGGGCTGTCTGTATCCTCAGCCGCAGGAGCACAGAGCACGGAGCGATTCAGCTTCACGCGTGGCTGCAGAGCTGTGTCCCATCGCTCAGCAAGGGTGGCACATCCTCTGCTGCGAGCTTCCGGCAGCGCACACCAACCACCATGGGCCACAAAGGGATTTTTAGTCATACACTACCATACCTTATCCTGGACCAATGCATTAGCTACATGTAAGTGTGACTCAAGCTGGGTTTTGATGGGTTGCTGTTTACACATACACAGAGTGCAGTGCGAGCCTGTTGTTCCGCTCCAGTGTGGGTGGGATGAAGGACACGCTCCCATTTCCAGATCCTGCCAGGCTGGTGGTTTGAAAACAGCATTTTCCATTCTTTCAAGTGACCCCACTTGTGTTGTCCAAAGGTGACGAAGCACTGTTTGCAGTCACTCTGCCAGCACAGCCTTGGGAACAGGAACTCTCAGCCACAGGTCACCAGCGCAGTCACATCCCCGAACAGCAGCAGCTATTTGTGCAATGGATGAGTGCCAGGAGGCAGTGAGATGCTAACACAGCACGGACAATGGCAATGCTGCCCCACGCTTTCCTGCGCACGGCAGAGTACGTGGGGACAGTCGAGGGGGACCATCACCCCCAGACCGCAGGAAGGAGCCTGTGTGTGAAGAGACAACATGCACACACACACACACGTGCACTCCAGAAGCCCTGGGAGCAGGAGGAGCCCTGTGCTGAGCTCCAGGCACGAGATCCAAGCTGAGAAACAAAGAACAAGCCCACTTCCACAGGCCCCTCCGCAGAGGCAAAGCAGAGCCCACTGTGGTCCATGGGATGTGGCTCAGGTGGCTCTGGGGGCACTAGGAGGCAGAAGCTCCCCTGGGTGCACGCAGCGGAGTCTTGGCACAGCAGGATGGTTGCCTTTCCCAGTCAGATGTTTTGTTAGAGCTACAAGGACTTACTGGGTTTGTTTTCCAGTTTTTCAATGCAGGAAGGGATTATCTGCTCACTCATCCGTTTCCCAGCCCAGGAGGTGGGCTGCGAAGGGAAGTTGGTGGCTGCAGCACGAGGAGAGGTGCAAAACGCTTTAGCTCAATTTTCTACCCATTTCTGTGTCCTTCGGGTAATCTGAATTTTCTTCTTCCCTTTCCTTCCCAGCCAAACAAGAGGAAAAGAGGAAAGCCTCCCTGGAAAACCCTGTAGAAGACTAAAGCCACATTCAAGAAGACACCACCACCGCCCCCAAGCCTCTACAGCTGGGTGAACATTCTCTGCAGGCAGCAGAGGATCAGGTGCTGCTCCCAGCACATGAGCTAGGCTGAGGAGCTGCAGACCAGACTGGTGGATGCACTTGCTGCCCACCTTTCTCCTCTCCTGGAGGCGACAATCCCAGCCCAGGCCATAACACAACCAGCAGACTGTTGACGTTCAGTACTGCCTCATAGCAAGAGCAGCAGAAACTGCCAGCATGGTTGGGCTGGCACTCAGTTTAGCTATCCCAGTTTGATCCGCTTCTCTCCAGGGTTAACCAGGTGTTCCCATTGCTAAGAGCAAATCCAGCCCATACAAGACCTGCAGGAGCAGTTCCCCACGGCGGGGCTGAGCCTAAGGGTGCCCCAGGGCTGGAGCTCAGCCACACCATGACCACTCGCTCCAGTTACCCTGAGAGGCGAGCTCCACCGAGCCAGGTCAGTTGCAATTACCAGGTGTGTGTGAACAAACCGGTTTCAGAGCTTCCCCCAGACACACCCCGAGAGCAGGCAGCAGAAAGCTGGGTGCAGAAGTGGAACAAGAGATTGTCCTGTGTGCCCAGCAGCCATCGCTCCTGGGGTGCGAGGAAGGGGCCTCAGTGTCTGTGGAGGGGATGTCATGGCTGGGACCGTGCTGAGCACACCCCGAATCATCCTTCACCAGCTGCTTCAATGGGGGAAGTTCCAGGCTCTATTAACTCAAGTTTAAATAATGATGTATTTTTTTGTATCTCCTCTGCTGGTCCCTTCCGCTCCCAGCAGCCACTGGACAAATCCAAGCGGGTAAAAAAGGGGAAGAAACTGGTTTTCTGCTTTCAGAAATGGGTAACTTCAACGACGCCGTTTGCACAAAGGACTTGAAACATCAAAAGTCTGTTGTCTTTCCAGTCACAGCTTTTAGAGCATTTCATCTCTTTAGTCAAACACCACAAAGGGAATAACACACTCATGTCATAAACATCACAAACTGAGGAATATAGATCTTTGGAGAGAAACGCATTCGTCGGTGTCATTACACTACACTACAGTCAACTGCACCACTACAACAGTCCATAATGGTCATTCAAACACACATCTTCCTACAGAAGTTATGCAACTGTACAAGCTACCTTGCTACTTTGCACCCCTACTTCTACAAGTGGTCAATGAGGATAGATATACAATAGTTGTACAGAGAAATCACTCAAGTGGATACAGAAACGGGCCCTTTCGGAGTTAAAGGTTTTCAATAGTTCCACAATGCTACATTCATGCTACCAAGTTCACTAGATTGGGGGTTTAGTTTAGCAAGGAGAAAGAACATTTTGCCCCCAGTTAGGAGCATGACCAAAGGGGCAGAAAGGGAGAGGGGTTTGTGTCAGCATTTTAACCTGCTGCTGCTGTTGCCTTCTCCACATCACACACGACTTCCTGCTTTCATCGCACCCCCAGCTCCCACCTCTCCCAGCACAGCTGGTGGAAGCCGCCATCCTACAGAACAGAACTGGCCTCAGTTGTGTTTTCTTTCTTATACCTGGCATTTCCCTCCAAAAGCTACAGACTGGGGCCCATTATCCCCTTCACTACAGGTCTGGACAACATGAAGAGGGCAAGGGTCCAGCCAGGGATGAGCCGTGGCTACCAAACCACCCCAAAGAGGTCCCCCCTAGGGTACAACAACAGCCTGCACCTATTTGTTTCAATGTGTTGCTTTCAATGACTTTAAACCATCTCTCTTCAGCTGTTCCTCTCCTTACTGTATGTACATTATTTCTCCAAAAGTTCTGCTATAAAACTGCTGTAGTGTAAAGGGTTGAGCAGTTCCAGCCGGACGCCTGCTCCCCACACTCACACCCACAGCGAGGGGGAAGGAGTACTCTACAGGTCAGAACAGCTAGTTCTCTTTGTTAAGTATTTAGATTTGTACATATATTGTCCTCCACAACTAATTTTAGAGAGCAGGAGATCAGGATATCAAGGTAACCCTTCCCAGTTACTGCTCCAGTGTGTATGACTTAGAAAAGCAGTAATGTATCACCTCGCAGAACTGCCAGAGAGACCTACACAGGCTCTGAGCAGTATTTACCCTCTGAACGGGAGAGTACAAGATGAACAAACCCTTCCCAAACCAAAAAGCAACCCCCTGACTGAAACAAAGAGTAAATATAGTCTTAAATATACCCTCACATGCCAAGCAGGAGCCTGAGTTCCCAAACCCAGCTGCTCGACACAGCTCTGGGCTTCCTCTGTCCTACACCGGATGGGATGTGAGCAGCTCAGACCATTCAACAGGTCTGTTTAGAAGGGGGAAAAAGGTGGTTGATGCACAAACAACTGGCAATCAAGTGAACAGAGGGAAGATCCAAACTCGTGCTACAAACCCAGGCTGTGCTCCTCCACAGGCATCTCTTCAGTCTCCGTGGAGGGTCTCTGGTGGTCGCGGAACTGCGCCACTCCACACCGCGGGCTAGGAGGAGAACTCGTCTCAACACACAGCAAAACACCAGCATCAACAAGTTAATTACCATGGCTATTAATTTCTAATTCAGTTTGATACCATAGTGAACCCAACCGAGGCTTCTCAGCCAGGTTCTGTGTTTCTAACCTAAAGTATTTCAGCAAAACTCAAGTCCCGTAGTTTTGCAAGCAGCAAAATAGAAAGTAACAAACTTGTGTCTACTTGGAGGAGAGCTATACATTCGTGAGAGCACACACAATGAGTGCAACACAGCTACTCTGAAAGTAAGGAACCAAACCGGCTTAATCAATGCAGCAGACATGCAGGGTCTGCTAAGTTACCTTAAATCCATGTTTGCTGGTGATTAAATACGTCTACAGAAGATATATTACCATTCTGAATATATTTTCAAGCAGACCAAAAAAATACCTCATCTATTGGTTACTGGTGTGTTATTTTTAACTAATTAAATATTGGGAGGGATTCTACCCCCCCTTGCTATAAAAATTGCACTTCTTAATTTCTATTAAACAAAACCAAAAAGAGATAGGTTTCAATTCTATCTTCCAGTATATATTCACATGGAAACTGGATCGTCTTGCTCTAAGCTTGCAGGAGTAGGTGTAGCAGTCCTTGCTCTCCAACATCCCCTGCACAGAAGGTGCCATCAGTACAAACCCTCCTTCCTCTGTGCTCTGGTCACTTCTTCAGTGTAGTGCATGGGTAAGTGATTTGATTTTATTTTTTTGTAAGAAAACCTGAGCTTCAAAAGTCTTTAAAAGGACCTGGAATCAAATCTGGCCCATTCTGACCCAAAACAGCTCAGTTCTGCTAGGAACTCCATCCTGTCCTCGTTGCACACAGCTCCTCCTGAGACACCATGGCTCTGACCTGAGGCGAGTGAGGTGTCAAACCCTTTCCCTCCAGTCTCTCTTGACCCAGGAGACTTTCCTCCCAACACACTTCCGAGGGCTCCTTCTTCCCTCCCTTTAGCACTGCTGCCTCCCATAGGGCTTTGAAGGGCTCCCCGTGCCAATAAAAAAGTCTCTCTGCAATCAGCACGACTTCCTGGACACCAGTGATCAACTTCCTCTTGCAAAGTCTTCTCCAGCTCATAAAATGTCATCGTAATCCAATAGTTTAGAGTGCTGGCGGGTCTTCCAGAGGCGGTAAAGGCGGAAGTCAAAGTAAGTCTCAATCATTTGCTTACCTAGGAGTGAAATGAAGTGGAGGGGTTACACCCTGCAGCAGCAAAACCACCCTAGCCACCTATAGGCAGGGGCACAGGAGAACCCATCCACATGCTTCATTGGTGAATACACCGAGCACCTGCCCAAAGCATGGGAAGGTGCCCATGAGCAGCAAACGTCATTGTAGAACTCAAACCATGAAAGGCTCCTTAAATCCCCTGGCAGGGTTTGTCTGAGCTGGGAACTGAGCACAGAATCTGCCTCCAGACTTTGACCTCTCTGCACTAACTGCAGAAGGAGGCTGTGGAAGGGGGCTGTGGACTATCACAGAATTACAGATTGGTTTGGGATGGGAAGGACTTTAAGATCATCTAGTTCCAACCCCCTGCCACCAGACCACAGCTCCAACAGCATGCGTGAGGCTACCCAGCTCAGGGACTTCAGGACATCACAAAGCCAGAATTAACTCCTTGTAAAGATTTGTGGGAAACTTTAAAAACAAGTAACTTGAAAATTCAAACTAAAAATGGGTGCTTTGGTTTATAAATGAGCACTTACAGCTGCCCCTGTCCTGCAAAGCTGTGCCTTCTCACAGCAAGGAGCTTAACAGAACACACTAATGCAAGCTGTGTGCACTGGCACCTCTGATGGAAGGTGGAGGTCTCACAGGCCATTACAGACCCAGGAGGCAGTGAGTGCCTTTGACAACCCAAGGGCAAACAGCCTCTGAGACAGGGCTTAAGGATGGGATTTTCGCTTCTGAGGCCTGATTAAGATTAATTTCAGATGACTTTGCAAAGGATTACAGCCGGCGCTGTATTAGCACGTCCCAGATTGATCAAGGGGATAAATTCAGGCATATTCTCCAGCCGAGCCTCTTCAAAGATTAACTGCTTAAATGTATGCACACAGAACCTGCTGCCTCGCCTGCCAAGCTGCACAGAAACCCGGGAACTGCCCCGCAAGTTGCTTCTGGGCACACATAAAATCCTTGAATGGTTTGTGTTGGAAGGGACCTTAAAGCTCATCCAGCTGCAACCCCTGCCACGGCAGAGACACCTTCCACTAGAGCAGCTTGCTCCAAGCCCCTGTGTCCAACCTGGCCTTGGACACTGCCAGGGATGGGGCAGCCACAGCTTCTCTGGGCACCCTGTGCCAGCGCCTCAGCACCCTCACAGGGAAGAGCTTCTGCCTAAGAGCTCATCTCAGTCTCCCCTCAGGCAGGTTAAAGCCATTCCCCTTGGCCTGTCCCTACAGGCCCTTGGCCAAAGCCCCTCTCCAGGTTTCCTGGAGCCCCTTTAGGCACTGGAGCTGCTCTAAGGTCTCCCCTTAAGGAGCCTTCTCTTCTCCAGGCTGAACAAGCCCAGCCGTCTCAGCCTCTCTTCATAATAGAGGTGCTCCAGCATGTTTGCTATGGGATCTGTGCAAACACTCTGTAAAGTGGGGTCCAAATCTCAACAGGACACAGACAGCTTTGTGCAGCATGAATGTGCGCAGCTCCTCTATGGTCCTGTGACAGTGAGTGGAGTCAGGAATAACCCATCAAGTCCTGATGCGAGTGTGAGCAGCAGAGGAAGTCTCCACAGTGCTTACAGCCTAATGCTGCATGTTCTTATCTTCTTAGAGGTCAATGTACTAAGGATTACAGCTAAGGTAAAATAAGGGCAAACAGAATGTCACTTCAGAAACTGCACCCATAATTACATTGACCAAAGAACAGGAAAGATTCTTTAGCCCTTGAAATATCCTGAACTACAGGCAAAAAACATTAAAAAAAGCAAAGCAAAGCAGACTGAGATGCAGAATGGCTCCAGCCCAGTGCTTGCTGATGACACAACTCAGTACCAGTGGTTTGAGCCCTGCAGAAGAGAATCCTGCACACTTGGTTACAGAAAAGCTTCTGCTCCCACTTGCATTTCTGCCATGGTCTTCACATGCCCCAGTACATGACAGATCTCCTAAACTGAGCCTGGAAAGCTGACTACTCTTTAGGCTGCTTTGCCGCTGCCCGTGGCCTGAGAGAGGGTTGTGCAGCCAACAAAACAGATGAAATGTGATCATGGAGCAATTGCAAGGGGAAAACCAGGTTCAGCCACTGAACTGCACAAGGAACAAGCAAAAGCAAGACTGTGGCAGGGCTGAAGGGAGCTCAGAATGGCTTTTTGAAGCAGAGGCCCTCTGAATGGGACAGCCTGATGAGGATGGTGTGTGTCTTTGTACAGAAAATAAGTTACCTTGAGCTGATAGTTCAAGTGGAGACTCGAAGGCAACCCTATAAGGATTCATTAAGTTTTTCAGATTCTGAAATAGCTGAAAGGAAAAGATACTGGGGGTTAGCAGCTGAAAACAAAAATGAACTCCAGGACACCCAGAATGGCCCATCATTGTTCCCTACCTCAAGAAAACCTCCCATCCCTGTTCTTTAAAACATCTAGCTCACCAGTAAATAAAGTGCTTTGAACTACTGTTCTCCTCAAAGGCTTCAGTATTTGTCACTTATTCCTCCCCTGCCCTCTGGGGAAGGCACAATCCATAGGGCACTTCACCCATTCACAGCCTCTCATAGGACAGGATGGCAGCATGTTCCCACACAGCAGAAGAGGAAGGTTTAGACTTCACAGTGTAGCTGTTTGGCTTGGTGCTACTCACCAGACACTCCCAGGAAGCTCTTACCTTCTCCCCATTGGGGTTTCCAAGAACATAGCAGCCCATGATGTGAATGATATTTGGTTCAGGATTGACTTTACTCATCAGCCGGCTCAACCTCTTCCAGAAGCTGGAAGAAACAGGAAAAAACAGAATATATAATTTAAAGCAAAGCAACCCCCCCCATCTCCTCATGAGTAATCAATCACAAGGACGTGCACACACAGCTCGGGAGGGACCTGAGGCTTGTGGCCTGAGGAACAGCCTGCTCAGGAAGAGCCGTGGTTTCTTAGACAAGGAAACACAGGGGCCAAGCAAGGGTCCAAGGAGCAGGTCCCAGTCATGTGGTAGGGAAGAAGGAGCAGCCCATTGAGCCAAGGAAGCTCCAAGGTGAAGAGAAGGGAGCCAAGTCCACCAGGAGTGCTTTCAGACTGCCAGTTTCACTGAGCAGTCTCCTCTTGTAGCAGTTCCCTCCATTTTTCTCTCACATTTCTATCAATTACCCTTTCTAAGGATGAGTGGTATCAGTGCACTGGTTCATTTGCAGGGCATGAAATCAACAGAGAACAGCTGGAGAGGTTGTTCTCCAACATTGCTAGAGACACCAGCAAACCACCCAGTGCTTGGTGCTGCTCACCAGTCAGACCCAGTTTACCTTTTGGGACTACTGACCACACACACTGTGCCTAGGGGACAGAACAACCACCTCCCCTGGGCAGGGGATCAGGGCAGGCTTCTGGTGGGCCCTGAAGCTCTCTGTGATCAGATTGCTTTCCTCAGGACTGCCTCCCAGGGACATAGAGGTTAGGTGGAGATAGTCACATCCAAGCATCCAAGTTTTCAGCTGTGTTCACAGCTTTCTGAAGGTCCCTGAGTGACCAGCTCTGGACCAGCCATGCCTGGCCTGTGTTCAGAAGCGTGTACACAAACACGTGCTGAAGAATTTTATTGTCAGTGCTTGTGCCAGAGCATGAGAGCACTGAACAGATGTAGATTTTAACAGCCAGTTCTCATGCCAACAAGTTGTGCAGAACAGGTTGGTGTACATCCTCTCCCCCACAACGAGGTGAGTTTGAGCCAGCACAAACGAGCAGGCAGCAAAACAGACAAAGCTTAACTCTCTGCAAGGAGAAGCAAAACTGCCTCAGCAGCCCTGGCTGACAGGGTGGTGTTAGTGAAAATCCTCCTCGGGAACGTGCTGGACTTTGAGCAGGCTTTGCAGAGGCAAATTCCATCTCCTCTGCAATCAGGAGGGAGTTACCAGAGGCAGCTGTGGGGGGAGGACCGGTTGGATTTCTGCTTAGAAATGCTGTCTCAGCCACTTCTGAGCAACAGAGGCACAAGGCATGTGCCCTGGGGTCTGGTCAGCAAAGCCTGCGTTGAGAGGAAATTTCCACACCCCTTTTGGCAGTCTCTGTTCCACAGAGACACAACAGATAAAAGCATCAATCTCCTGGTGACCTGTCCTGGGGCTGCACCACTCCAGGGCCAGGCTCAGCCCTCTCGTCCTTGCAGCCCCCCCAGAGGAGCTTTAAGCTGCTATTAGGTCACCCCTCAGCCTCATCTTCCCCTGACCAACCCTTCCCCTCTCCTGCTCAGGCATGTGCTACAAACAGAGCAAACCAAGCAGCAGAATGCTGTGTGAGCCCAGAAGGTGATGCAGCCACTCACAGGATCATATCTTCCTCCTTCTCCACTTTGGCAAATGTGGCAACTTTGTTCTTTAACAAGTATAAGTGACCAGGGCCTCCCTGCAAGAGACAGACAGACAGATATGAACCACTGGGCACAGGCCATGAAGAAACAAAGCCTGGATGTTTCTCATCCTGCACAGCCCTCTGTGCCACAGGGGAGCAGAGCCAGGCTGGCACAGCTGCTGTGTCTTCCATAGCAGGCACTGCAGGGCTTGCTCGGGAAAGAGTCACACATGGGAGAGTGCTGGGGGTTGGATTCTCTGGCTTTTACTGTTCTATGCCCACCTTATTCTAAAAAGGCACAATAATAGACAAAAATGTTCATTGTGGGTGGCTGGAGAGAATAGGGAAGACAAGAAAGCCCCTTTTGCTTGGGGATTCTAGGGGACTCGCCTTGGTGGGCAGAGAGAGGCTGAGCCAAGCAGGGATTAGCAGGAGAGATGTCACTGAGGTAGGGCTGCACTTTGGCTGTAGCAGGCATGAAAAGCTTGAGTACAACAGCAGGAAAACAGTCACCATCTCCAGGTCAGTGTGCTGCAGACCCTGCTATTCCACAGCACCGGGCACGTGGAAATGGGTTCAAGTCAGGCCAGCTCCTAACTTCTCATTTCAAGGTTTCTCGCCCAGCTGCTGGGGAAGTGGGAAGCTGAACACCCTGAGGAACAAGAAACGTGGGAAGGAAATCCCCAGACCCAGCAGGAATCTCTGCACCCCAGCTCGGCAAGCCTGGACCCTGACAGCACAGGCCCTGCTCCAGCGCCGAGCTGTGCCATCTGCCGGTCTGCTCCGGGACACACACCCTGCCACGGCCACACTGAGCGCATGGAAACGACCCTCATCGCATCGGAAATGCTTGTTCTGTCTCTGGAGCACTCATTTCGAGGTCTGTGTAAAGCTGGTTTCCATGGGTTTCCTTGAAAGCAGCCGAGGAGCAGCCCAGCTCTGGACTTAACCACACTAAATCAGACTTCATTTCCTGCTGTTACAGCAACTCCCCACTTCTCAGTGTCTGGGGAAAGGAGAAGTGCAAGCTGCCCATGTGCAGTTACTGTAACAGAACCTGGACCACTGGTTCCTCTTTGTAATTTTCCCTGTAGAAAGTCACAGAATCCCAGCCTGGTTTGGGTTGGCAGGGACCTTAAAGCTCCTCCAGCTCCACCCCCTGCCACAGGCAGGGACACCTTCCACTAGAGCAGCTTGCTCCAAGCCCCTGTGTCCAACCTGGCCTTGAACACTGCCAGGGATGGGGCAGCCACAGCTTCTCTGGGCACCCTGTGCCAGCGCCTCAGCACCCTCACAGGGAAGTACTCAAATTTGTGACAACCTCCCAGGCCCTTCACAATTTTCATGTACCTGGCAAAATATCAGCATCTTCCAGATCTTGCAGCCTTTCCGATAGATGTTCAGCTTCTTCTCTATTTCCTCTGCAATAAACACATTGGGAAATTAGAACCATGGAGGAAGTTCAAAATTAATCTTATTTCTTGTCACGTCAGTGCTGAAGGCAGGAGGCTGAGCTGCGAGAGGTGCTCAGCACCCACATTCGCAATGATGACAAAGCAAACCCTTCGCTTTCATGCTGTGGAAAGCAGGAAACCCTGACACATCCCAGGGCAGAGAAGGGACAGAGCAGCACCAGGTACTGCTCTGCAGTGACCGTGGCACTGGACTAGATCCAGTTGTGCTGACCCTCTGCTAAAGCTCCCCTTCACCTACAAGGGTACAATGAATCTTTGCTGCCCTGAGCCTCAGCTTCTCTTCCATAAACTGGGAGCTTGGCACAGAACATGGGCCACAGAAGTGAAGTTTTCTTACTGCAGCACATCCAACAGCACTGACACTGTCAGGTGTCACTGGGTGACAAAAGCACCTTTACGTGTGGCAGCTGAGGCACAGGGCAGTGGAGTGACTAACATGTTGATCAGTTACACCTGCAATGGGCAGGAGTTAAGGAAATAACACTCACGTACCAAGGATGTCATCAAAGGTGGCATGTTCATGGTCCTGGAAACCAAGAGAGAAAACATATCAAGGTTTACTGTCATTACACCAGCTCCCACGACATTATTATAGTCTCTAACCTTGTACACAGCTCCCATGACATTATTATAGTCTCTAACACTGCACACAATCCACACACATCCCAAACGGATGCTCCAAGAGCTCAATTTTATCAACTGATGGTGTCTGGTCACACCACAGTAATAACCACCCTAAACCTCATCTAAGTAAAGCAGCTGAAGACTGTGGTCCATGAAGACCACGTCTCAAAGCTGAATCCTGCAGACAACTCCACAGCACATATCATCCATCAGATGCAGTCAGCATCAGTAATGACTATTTGCCTCTTGGCCCATGTTTTGCAGCCAGCCTCTGGCTCTAGATGTGTCTAAGATGGCTACAAACAGTCACACTGCCAACACATCTGTCTCTGGCACAGCAGGGTCATCAGGATATCCCTTTCAAATGCAGTTAATATAAAGTGATGAGGAAAAGAGGCCCATGGACCCATGCTGGTGCTTCAGACACCCGCTCCTAGAGAAAAACCGAGGTTCTGACTGACAGGGCTGCACCACTGTACAGTGTCAGGGCTCATGGACCAATGCAGAGCTCCGAGGTTCTAAGGATGAACAGAAGGAGGAGCCCTAAGCCTGGCAACACACAGCTCTGCCTGGGTGCTCAGTCCTGCCCTTTCCTTGTTGATCTTCCCAAGCTCCCTGGTTGTGCTTCCATAGTCTGGCAGCCCCATGTGTGATTTCCACTCCTCCGTACTCTACCACTGAGACCTGAGCTCCCCTCCCCGAGCTACCCCAGACCCAAATCACAGAATCCCAGCCTGGTTTGTGTTGGCAGGGACCTTAAAGCTCCTCCAGCTCCAACCCCTGCCACGGGCAGGGACACCTTCCACTAGAGCAGCTTGCTCCAAGCCCCTGTGTCCAACCTGGCCTTGAACACTGCCAGGGATGGGGCAGCCACAGCTTCTCTGGGCACCCTGTGCCAGCGCCTCAGCACCCTCACAGGGAAGAGCTTCTGCCTAAGAACTCATCTCAGTCTCCCCTCTGGCAGGTTAAAGCCATTCCCCTTGGCCTGTCCCTACAGGCCCTTGTCCCAAGCCCCTCTCCAGCTTTCCTGCAGCCCCTTTAGGCACTGGAGCTGCTCTCAGGTCTCCCCTTCAGGAGCCTTCTCTTCTCCAGGCTGCCCCAGCCCAGCTCTCTCAGCCTGGCTCCAGAGCAGAGCTGCTCCAGCCCTCGCAGCATCTCCTGGGTTCAGCACACCCCCAGCCCTTTCCTGACAGCTTTCCCAAATCATATCAGTGTTTCAGAATTCCCATAACAGGAACCAGGGATAGGGACAAGAAACCCCCATTAAATAATTGTGTGTGAAGCCTGCTCCCACCCATCCAAGCCATAGCAGAAGTGAAACACTTACATAGAGAATGGGGATGATAGAGGGATCGTCCCTGCGGATAATTGTTGGGACATACTCTGCTTTGGGCACCTTGGAGGAAATGAGCTGTAACGGGAGAAAGAAAACAGCATGAGGAGAAGGCAGTGGAGTAAAAAAGCACAAAGGCCACGGTAACAGTGCCCTGTTCAGTTGCTCTCAGGTGTTACCCAGCTCATCCAGCCTGTCTGCATCCCTCTGGAAGGTCCTCCAAGCCTCTGATCCACTACAGAGCACCCCGAGGTCTGCCCACTCCTGCTGTGTGTCACAGTGTCCTCGAGCCCCAACTGATGAGCACACAGCTCTGCTGACAGGCAGGACTGAGCCTGAGACAGCAGTTTGTAAAGTGGAGCCCAGTGTGCAGAGGTAGCAGCTTGTGCATCACCACAAATGGCAAAGATCACTTCTCTACAGCCCTCCTCTGTGCCAGGGTCTGCAGAGGATCATTCAAACAGGCACACATATCTGGCTGGTGGTGGGATGGCTGCATACCTGAATGGGAACCAGCTGAGGGATGAAACAGCATCAGCACAGGCGGACACAGGATGTCAGGCAGATGCAGGTTGCCTGGCAACTCCGGCTGAAGCTTCAGCTGGCTCCAGCAGCATGAGAGCCCAGGGATGCGCCTGCTGTCAGCACAAGCACAGCACAAGGACTATGGGAACATAGGCAGTTTGACTGTGCTGTGATTTCAGGCACCTCTGTTCATCACTTTGAGAGTGGAGCAGGCAGCGGTGCTGGTGGGCTTGTGGGTTCCAGCTTAGCTGGCTTCAGAGCCCTCCCTCCTAGACAGCACATCACTGCTTCAGCCACTTGGCAGGTAATGCAAAGGTTCTGAAGAGTCCAGGGAGGTAATCATCACATGCACCACCTGGGAGACACACCGGAGATGTCAAGGGCTGAACAAACCCAAGTTCTGGGTTCCTGGTGATCCATTCAAATGCAGTCCTGCTCTGCTGGACTGGCAATGCCACCCCGAGAGCTTGAGATCCCTTTTCCTGAGTACTGGTGCATGTGGCCAAAGGATGTGTCAAGATCTGGTCCTGTGTGCCAAATCCCCCAGGGCATAGCAGGGGGGAGTGCAGGGAGATGAGCACCAAGGAATCATAGAAGAGCAGACAGCATCATAACACAGAGCTCCATACCAGGCAAGTAACAACAGGAGGGAGGCACTGCTGGAGACTCACATCTCCAGTTATTGACTCAGTTCAGTGTTGGCGACAGTCCTGCTCTGATCTCAGGCTGGACTACAGGTCCTTCCACTTCCAGTTTTCTTTCAACACATCCCCAGCAATAACAGATGCTCAATACCATGTCTTGGCTGATCTCTCAGTGACCCTCATATACACCTGAAGAGTTAGCTACATGAAAGACTTGCCTCTTACAAAGATCCTAAACTTAGCAGCTCTGAAAGGACAGACACAGCCCGAGTAGATACAGGTAGCAGAGTTGAAATCCTCACCATTATTTTTGGTGGAATAAAGTCTTCTCCATCACATGCCACGGCTTCAAGTTCCTTTTCTGCTTCCCAGTTCAAGTCAAAGTTGCCATCCAAAGTGCCACAGGAATCCTGAAGGTCATGGCCTGCAGGAACAGTGTGCATTACAAGGGCAGAACAGCCTCCCTTCCCCTCTTGGTCCTGTGTGGCAGCCACCTTGCAGGAGGTGCCACAAGCCCTCCTTGTGCCCTCCTTTCTTCCCCCACAGACACCACACTGGGGCTAGTGCCCCTGAGCAGACAAAACACTTAACAAATGAGGAGAGCACACACAGAGCTGGTACCACACATCACGTAACAGTTCATCACTCCACAGTCACCACGTTCAGCTTTCAAGTGCTAATCACAACAGTCACCCTGTCACTTCAGAAATAGAGGAGGAGACAGAACACAGGCAGACTCTACACTTTAACATTGCCAAGCTGATGAGCAAAAGTCCACAGACTTCAAAGCTGGTTTCCTTGTAATTATTGCTCTGACACTGTCTTCTGTGATTATGAACTCTGCCTTGTTGGTCAAACTGATGCTGGCAGAGAAGTCCCAGCGCGTGAGGACAGCCGTAGCAAACAGCAGTATTGCAAGAGTACACTTGAATTTGCTTTCCAAACTGACCTTACCTGTTGCCCTTCAAGCCTCCTGGGGAAAAAAAATCTGGAAGGAATATAATTGACCATTAAAGGTTAGAAACAGAGATGGTTCCCTGGAGCCAAGGCCTGAGGAAAGAGAACCAAGACGCCCCTGTTTGCGCCTTTGGGGATGTCCGAGTGTCAGAGTGTCCCTGGCAGTGCCTGGAGCCTGTCTGAACCATGTCTTTTCCATTCGCCTCTGAGTTAGCTGAGGGAGTGGGGAGGAATCAGACTGCAGAGGAACCATCGGGTCATGTTTTGAACCTACACCTCCCCCTACAACCTGGTGTGTGTCTTCTAGGAGGGCTGCACCTCGTGCTTACCTAGTAGGTGAGTCCATTCCATTACTGAAATTCGTTTACATTACATCCCATTTCGACATGGGCAAACTCACATCCACCATGTGTCTTGCCCACAGGATTTCAATAAAAGCTGGGTAAAACAGCTGTTCCCTTTATAAAAAGACAGTGGGAAGATGCTGATATTTCCTCCTGTGAATTAACACACCAGCATCTCAGTCCCCACGAGCATTACTGCGGATTCCCAGAGGAATTCCTGACAATCCAAACAAGGATCAGATTGCCCCAGCCTATCACCCGTACAGCCAGCATGGCCAGGAAAGCAAAGCTCCATCTCATGGAGCGCTGCAGCTGTGCTCCTGAGCCATTCCAGCCTAGGAAAGAGCTCAGAAGGGGCTCTGCACTGGAAGCCAGGCAGGTTAGCCCTGCTGTGGTGAAAGCCTTGGACTGGTGTGCTTCCAGGTAGGTTGTTTTGGTCCCAGGCAAATATGGGATGATGGGAACAGAGGGCTGTAAGAGAGCTGTCCCCCTGGGTATCCTTTGGCAACTGCACAATAACATGAGGTTGGATGGGTTGTGCTCTACAAATAAATACAGGCACACACAGATGAACAAGTGCATCTACCCGGAGTGGTACTTGCTCAGATCTCATGGAACTAAAAGGATCACAGATGGGACAAAAGAGCACAGAGGAGTTCCTCCAGTGGGGCTCCAGTCCGCACCTCAGCTGGAGGTTTGGCCACAGGAGGAAGCTCAAAGGACTCAGAACTCACTTTCTCGAGAGTCATGGAAGGAATCGGCTTTGATGGGAGTCGGGTCACTCCAGGACCTGCTGAAGCTCCTCTCACGCCGTTCGGCAAATGCTAGGATAAAACCAGAGCAGGACATTAACAGACTCCAAAGCCACCTCTGCTGCTGCCAGCAAACAAAACATCCAGAGATTTCCACCAAAGCCACACATCACGGACTCCCCTGGGCTTGCTCTTCACTTGCCAAACGTGAGGCCTTTCCACACAGCAAACAAGGGTCTACCTTCTGGACAGCAAAAGGCAATGTGCTCACTTCCTGAGCAGGACCATTACAGGGTACGGAACACAGCAAAAGAGGACACTTGATGCTCTCTCAGATGCACACAGCTCAGTCTAATCAAGACTTTTCCAGTGTTCCAGTATCAATGCTCTGACTCAAAGGCCTCACGGACGTACTCAACAGCTAATGACACCTCCACGACCAGAAGAAGGCAGCAGTTCTCCAGTTTCCCCTGCATGTTCTAATGCATCCCAGTTAGAGCTGGACCAGATGGGATGGGAGGACTCTGGAAAGCTCCCACTTTCTAAACTTTGCTGCAAAAGAGGAAATCCTTCAGGTTTTGCCTGCACTCGTGTGAGCACTCCTCCCCCAGCTTTCCTTGTTTGTCCAAGGGGCATTATACTGTTTGTACCAGCATTTCCCAAGCAGAACCAGGGAGCTTAGCCCAGCTGGCTGCACTGCAGGCAAATTCCTGGGAGCTGCCAACAATATCTGACTTGGCAAGCCCCTGTGAAAGCCATTACACCCAGATTAACAGCCACTTATAGCCACTAATACCTATTTCTGGTAGCAGACAGAGCAAGTTTGCTGCAGTGTGTCCAGTAACAGCATCTCATGTCAGGAATTCACTGCAGATCTGCATTATAACAGCTGAGAAGCAACCTGTCCTTGCTGCAGTGTGTCCAAGTGTGGGAGTCCAGGGAGACAAATCACATAGGAAGCTCTTCAGGTGATCTCCATCCTCAGCTTTCATTTAAAGCCAGGCATTTAGCTACTGTGCACATGAAGAAAGCTTTGAAAACATGACCCGAGAGTTACCAAGGCAGAGGCATGCCTGAGCTTCCAGACAGCTCTAGGGTACATAAGCCCTCTTCATTTCAGGCAGTGCTAACTCAGATGCCAATAAAGACTCTTTGAAGGACAATGCTCTTTGCTGTTCACCCCCCACAGCATATGAGAAAGGAAAGGATGCAAATTCAACTCAGCAGCGCTTTGCAGTGGGCAGTCTGTATGTGATGCTTGGCCAGAGGTGGGAAGAACGAGCTGTTTCCTCTTCTGGAGCAATCCTCAGGAGGTTACACCATTCTTAGCCCACTTCACACAATAAGGGAGCTGCCCAAACCAAGTCATGGAGTGTTGCCTTCCTCAGGGAAAGGGAACTGCTGTATCCCAGGTGATTTCTTCCCCAGTAGAGGCATTAAACACTCCCTTATTTCCCCTTTGCTACAATTTCTTCCCTGTTCCTCTTCTTCCTTCCACCATCCTCTCAGCAACTCTCCCCCACATCCTGATGTGGAGATGGCGGTGAGACAGGGGAGGAGAAGAGAGAAAGCCACCAGCCCACTTGGCACATGGAGCACCAACTGTCCCAGGAGCCACAGCTGGTCCTCAGCTCCAGGAAGAGGAGTAAGAGGCCAGGCAGCCCTCGCCAGCTCCGCAGAACTCCCAGCTCTGATTCTGCTCACAAGTGCCTGTACTGGTGATCACCAAACCCCAAACACATACACGACAAGGATGCTGCAGTTCTTCCACTCCTTGCACTGACACCACGGAGATCAGCCATGGCCAAAGCAGAGGGTCCTCAGAAATAGCCTGCAGGCTGCTTGCAGACATTCATGTGTCCTGGAGACTTGCAACAACCTGGCTGCTTCTTTGTAAAATGGCACCAGCACCTTTCTCTGGCCCAGTGCTAGGTCCTTTCTACCCACATCTGCATGCAAGTTCCCATATCCCAGCAGCACAACCCCAGCTCCTCACATCCACATCTGACAGGTTCAGTGCTCACTTACTTTGTGCTTTAACCCTTCGGCTCCCCACCATGCGGAGGTGCTTCCGAAAATTCCTGAAAGAAGGCCAAACACAACCTGTGAGAAAGGCAACCCAGAGCAAGACCTGGGCCCAGCAGGCCAGGAACAGCTGTGAGGGAAACAATGACCTTGGGAAGACAGTGTGTTTCCTTCTGGGCATTCGAAAGCTGAGACCAGGCTCCCAGCCTGCACCTATTCAGTGCTGGGGATGGTCGTGTTTGTCAGGAGCGTGGCTGTTTCTTCCTGGCTGGAATATGTGGCAGTCCCTTTCTCAGAGCCTGCTCTCACCTTCCTATGACCAGCATGCCTGTGCTACCTCTGCTGAAGACACTGGCTGCTGCCTATGCTGGCAATGGTCCCTCTTCTCATAAAGAGCAGTAACTGCTCCTCTCCCCTGTGCTCCACGCATGCTTCAGCAGGGAGGTGGGTGCCCAGGCTCTGCCCTGCTCATGCACACACCACGCTCCTGGCTGTGCTCATTCCCAACACATTCCCAGCAGCTGCTAAAATCCCCCCTATGCTGTTAGCAGCCATGCAGCCCCTACTGCCCTCCAGGGCAGGGAGCTGGGGAAGACGGAAGCAGCTTCCTCCTTGTGAGGCAGGGCTGTAGGTTGTCAGCAGGGCTGGCTGTCCTCATGGGCCTGCCCAAGGCTCACAGGTAGAGCTCAGTGGGGCTGCAGAGTACACAGATCCAGAGGAAGCCACCAGAGGATGAGCCTTGGGGAGCAGCTACACCCCAGAGTCAGGTCTGTGTAAAACAGACCATCCCGGCCACTCCTGAGAGACCACGGCAAAGGGACTCAGTGCTGTCCCTTCAAGTGCAAAGGACCTCTTTCCCTTGGTTTCATAGAATCCCAGCCTGGTTTGTGTTGGAAGGGACCTTAAGGCTCCTCCAGCTCCAACCCCTGCCACGGGCAGGGACACCTTCCACTAGAGCAGCTTGCTCCAAGCCCCTGTGTCCAACCTGGCCTTGAACACTGCCAGGGATGGGGCAGCCACAGCTTCTCTGGGCACCCTGTGCCAGCGCCTCAGCACCCTCACAGGGAAGAGCTTCTGCCTAAGAGCTCAGCTCAGTCTCCCTCTGGCAGGTTAAAGCCATTTCTCATCACTTGCCTAGACAAGAACCAAAGAGGACAGAAACCAAACAGGACACCAGAAGAGACACAGGGAAGTGGCAGCACATGGACTATCACCCTCCATGAAGCCTAATTGCGTGGCTTCACCCTGCAGAGCAGCCCCATGGCCCCAGGGGTGTCAGCCAGCACAGCAGCCTGCCTGAAGTGCAGGAGCCTTCCTGGGGTCCCTTCTGCCCCATCAACACACACTGCAGACACCAAGCAACAGAGCCCAGTGCTGGTGAAAGGGGTAACATGACGAGTGGTCTGGCTCACACACAGGTTAGTGGTATCAGTAAAGACACAGTACAACCATGCAGATACATCAGCAAACACTAGAAGACACTTCCAGCACTGACATGTTGTTCAGAAAACATTGGATATGTCCATTCCTGTACAGCTCAATCAACACAGCCCTCATGGGAGAACATTTAACCCATGTCCCATTTAGCCTTCTGCACTGTGCTCCACCTTGGCTTTGGATCCCATCCTGTCATCAGGATGCAGCTCAAGAAGGAAAAGCTGGGCAGTGAAGCTGGGAGCAGCATTATTCCATGACAAATTTCCACGTGCACCTGGGCTATTAAAGCTGTTTCCCAAAGCTTTATTTTAGCCCTGCTTGGGTACATGAAGATTCACTGCTGTGGATCAGACACCTGCCCCTTTAGATAGGAACAAACCCCATTCACTGCACAGGGACTGGCTCTGTATACAGCCCTTCTGGGGAGGGGGATGACTGATGTGGGCTGTCTTATTGCACAATAGATTCAACCCCAAATAAATACAATGTTTTAAGTGAAACAGGGATGTTCTTTACACAGAAAGGTCTTAGACACACAATGTAGCTTATCAGAATGAAAGTTGTCATGGTGCATTGTAAAACCAAGGTCATACCAGGCACTGAGCCTGAGATCATACAGACACTGAGCACCCACGTAATTGCCAAGGCCACTGTTGCTTTGGGCTTTGGGCATTTGGAGTAAAGCCCATTCTGGAGTAAAGATCAGTCTTCTGTTGAATGCTCAGCTGTCCTCTCTGCAGAGGAGCTTATTCAGACCTTGGGGCAGGGGTTAAAGCAGCCTTTGCCATGAAGATGCTGCTCGGACAACTTGCTCCCTCCCACGACTGCAGCTGAGTGAAGCTGTCTAGATACACAACCACTGCTCCAGCAGCTCCAGGGGATCCAGCTGCTTCAACCTGACCACTGCACTACATGCTTGGAGAATGGGCCAAAGGCCATTTTTAGCTCCTTGTTGCTTCTAGAATAAAAGCACCTTGGAAAGGAGGCCCAAGCCTGGAACTGCCTTTTACTGTGGGCATCCTGTGGTCATCTAGAGCCTTCTGAGGGCTTTCTGCAGCTGTATGGGCCCTCAGGCCCCTCTGCTTGCATGTTAGCACAGAAGGACTGGCACAGGAGCCCTGGGAGAGCTGCAGCCTCCTCTGTGAGCAGCAGGGTACATAAACCTGCCTATCTTCCTGCCTAGTGGCTGCAGCTGCACCCACAACACCCAGTGTTACTTGAGCACCAGCAAGATCTCATCACCCATCAAATGCAACAAGCATCCCCCAAGCTACACTGACACAACCTCCTTATGACTCCCTTTCCTGAACAGCCCTCCTCCAGACTGGCTCTACATGACCCTATGCAACTCCACGGCATCCATCCCAGCCACAGCAGCCCCATTCCACACCCTCTGCATAGAAGCCTTTTTACTGCCCAGACAGAGGTCAGGGGCAGAACTGCTGACCGAGAAAACTCCCAACATCACCTCACACATTCTCAGCTCCTCCTTGCAATGGTCCTTCAGCAAACCACTGGGCATCACTCACTGTCACTGCAACACCCATTGTGTGCTGTGCCACACAAACAGCCTCCCATGCACCAGGCACACAGGACCAAGCACTGGAGGGGCTGTGTGATGACAGCTGAGCTTCCAAGACATCCAAGCCACGAATTGCTGCACAACATCCAAAGCTCTGGGGTCCTCCTCCCTCCAGGAGGAGGGCCGAACACGAACCACAACCCTACAGCCCACTGCCCTCTGCTCTTTTACAGCAAGATGAATGCAGATGGGCTCCCACTGTTCAATCCTGCCCAGATCTGCAGTGTCCACAGGTTGAAGGGACACACTGTTCACCCAACACAAGGATGCCATCACTCCGTCCTCTATCCTGACTACACAGCATCACTGAGGGATACAACTCCTACTCCCCTACTTGCAAACCACATGAGCAAGCCATTTCCTAACAAAGACTTGCCTCTGCCTAATAAATCCTGTGAAATCTTAAAGACACTATTTCACAGGGTCTTCAGTTGTGATTCTTATTTATCATCATTATTGAGGGAAAAAAACCCATTACCCTCAAGTTGCTAATGAAAACAATTCCTGGCAATTTCCCAGTTAAGAAAACCTGATGTTTTTCTCCCACTTTGTTTTGAACAGTGCTGAAGTGATCATGACAGTTTTTAACCAATGACACATACACTGTGTTATCCATCTTAGCAGGCTGCCAAAATAATCGAGCCTTGGCACATGTGAAAACCAGAACAGTTCTGATCACCACAGTGGCTAAATGATGTGCCTGTGAAGCCAGCAGAAAGAAACTAGGGCCCTTCTGTCATACCCAGATGACCAATCCCTTTCTCTTTCCTTTCTGTTCTTTTCAGAAAAGGTTGAAAAAAATCAGTTCTGGTCACTAGAGGGGTACATTTTGCCCAGGTCTGATTTTCTGGAGTGCATCTGTAGATGCAGCAACAGTACAGTAAAGTACACATAGAATAATAAAATCATAGATTGGTTTGTGTTGGAAGGGACCTTAAAGCTCCTCCAGCTCCAACCCCTGCCACGGGCAGGGACCCCTTCCACTAGAGCAGCTTGCTCCAAGCCCCTGTGTCCAACCTGGCCTTGAACACTGCCAGGGATGGGGCAGCCACAGCTTCTCTGGGCACCCTGTGCCAGCACCTCAGCACCCTCACAGAGAAGAGCTTCTGCCTTAGATCCAACCTGAAATTCCCCTGTTTAAGTTTAAACCCATTCCCCTTTGTTCTGTCACTACAGTCCCTAATGAATAGTCCCTCTCCAGCATCCTTGTAGCCCCCTTTAGACACTGGAAGCTGCTATGAAATCCATCTAACCACAAACAAATTTAAAGTATCTGGGAGAGAACTGGGGAAATTGCACCTTTAATTCTTTTATATACATTTTTTACTGCCTGAGACACAGATCCTGTATATTATATTCAGAAGCTTAAGAAACGACAGTGTTCCTTTAAGAAGATGGAGACCAGCTATCTTAAGCCCTGCAGCATCATTCACCTCCACATTTCCAACACAGCCACTGCTAATGTCCCTAGAACAGCAACACAGACAGGGACAACCACGTTCAGTGCCGTCAAGCCTCAGGAATGACACCCGGAGGGCCCATGCGAGGGTGGAGCTGGGGAGGGAACGGGCCCTACCTCTGTATAACAGCTGCAGAATCATTCTCTCGCTTCCGCCTCTTCCTCTCTGCGTAGCCCCTGAACGCCCTGGGAAACCATGTCAAGCCATTAAGCAGCTACACAGCTTTGGACTGGAGAGGACACGAAACACAGACAGGAGAGGCCTCACCACACGACAGAGAGAAAGCTGACCAAGGAAGAGAGCCAGCCCTTGCAGGCCTGCGTGCGAGTCAGGGACCAGGCAAACACTCACTGAGCCAAAGGTCCTCACTCCCTAGGGTTGGTGGTTGCACAAAGTTGTTGTTCCTAAAGCAAAATAGTGGCCAGACCATGGCCCAAGGAATATGGGCGAGCAGCCATCATCCCTGCTACGGAGGAACTGGGCTAAGAGACTGCAAACACAAAACCCCTTACACCAGGATCAAGAGGGACAAAAGCATGCCAGCAACTCCAGTCTCCATTTTGAAGATGAGGATGGTTGTGGTGTGATCTGTGTAGGCCTACCAGGTGTAGCCATCTAATCTCCTGCCTGCTGACAAACAGCCCTAGCATAGGGAAAGCACGATATGATGGACAGGAGAGGAGAGTTTATGCAGAACACCAACAGACAAGGAAATAATGAAGATTATACTTACGAGATGCTAGAGATTCCAGGAGATGCAGGGGAAAGAAAGAGAAGAGGAGTTCATTAGTGCTCAGCCCCAGCAGCATTCCAAGGGAATTCTCACTCCAGAGGGAATCTTTCTTGTTAGGTGAAATTGCTTTTTAAATGAAACATTTCTCAGTGGTAAGACTCCTACTTGACCGAGCTAAATCCTCCCTGGGGCAGTGCTGGCATGCAGCTTGGATGCAAATTAAGCTCCTTGTAGACCCAGAGAACATGCAGAGGTACAACTGAGAGCTGAACCTGGCCCATCAGGCTGCAATGGGAGCTCAGCATCATGGGCTTCTGGAGCAGGGAGACCTTCCCACACAGTGACAAAGACTTGTGAAGTCACCTCGTGCTGTCTGGTCTATGAAGGAAGCAAGCAAGGTGGACTGAAGGCACCTAGAGCAGAGGCCAGGAAGACAGGGGCACCCAGGGGATCCCTGTCACCCCAAGCAGCTTAGGGAGGTGCCCTGAACTCCTGGAGATGTTTCCATGCAATCTCTAGAGGCAGCACATTAACCTGAAACATTAACCTGGGAGCTATGTTAACCAGGGGAGCTGTGCTCCTCAGGGGTTTCCTTAGGGCACCATTTCCCAAACCAACCTCACTTTCCCCTTCAAGCCCTGTAAAGCCCTGCCATGGGCCATCATTCTGCAGTAAACCTTGTGCCCACCAAAGATGACTTCCTCAATACTGCATCCAGCCCTCCCTGCATCAGTCCTTACAGGTCTGATCCACTCTGGGTTATCCCAGAATCAACAATCAGCCTCTTTTGGGGATTCAGGAAGGGAAAGGTAGGAAGGAAAAGAAATGGCAGAGACAGATTACATAAAGGACACCAGACAAGGAGAAATAGGAGTAGAGCTGAGGGTGACACAGGGAAGAAGACAAGGCTGGAGAAGGGCCTTAGAAGCAGAACAGTGTCTCATTTCCCTCATTGCTTGCCTTGGCTTTCCAGCCAGACAGGAAATACTTGAAACCAGGAAGACAGCATTTCCTGACAAGTTGGGTACAACCTGGAAATGAGGCTTCCCTTCTTCAGTCCTTTGAGAAGTGCCTCTTCCCAACACACAGCAAGCAGGGCACCAAAACCTGCCTGAGTCTGGAGAGAAAGGCTGTTCCTAACCCAGATCCAGCCACACTTCACAGTGACACCTTCCTCAAATGCCCAGACCAGGGCAGAAGCTGCAGGGCTACATCTCATCCCATAGAGAAGCACTCCTCTGGCTGACGGATGCAGGACAAGCCTGGAATCATGTTCCCTTGAGACAGTGGCTGCAGCAGAAGCAAGTGCTGGAGGGTCTCACGGTGCTGCCACAGGACCCTCTCTCTGCAGCAGCAGCCAGGGACAGGCACGTCACAGAGAAAATCAGGGAAGCAGAGGAGAGCTGAGTAGCCCAAGGAGTTAAAGAAGGTAAAACCAAACAAGTGGGAGTAGTAGGAAAGAGAACTAATAAGCACAAGAGAGAAATCAATAAGAGGCAAGGCTGTCTCTCTCACCCACTGCAGTGCCAAACATGCAACTCGATTGCTTCAGGCTCTTAGCTACAGCTCTGAGTCGGCCATGAGCTTTCAGCTGCACAATAAAAGCTATAGCAGAGGTTTCACTTACGCTTGCATAGTTGTAGTAGCAGTTTGGAAACTGAAGAGGTTCTCTTTTGGGAACCAGGTTCGTATGGGGACATCATCTGGAAAAGAGAGAGCAAAACCTGAGAATCCAGTAGGCAGAGACATCCTTCAGGCAGCAACACTTCCCAAGCTCCTTCTTTTAGTGCTGTTCTTTAGCATCCTGCCCTGTACTAACAGAAAAGCCTCATCCTCCTCTATATCTGCACACTACCACCAAGTGTAAATTTGTGCTAAGCCATCTAACAGGCTGCTTAACTGAAGAATGTAAGCTCCATCCTAAAGCTGGAAGATTAGAATAATCCAGGAATTACAGGAGAGACATTTGAACCAGAAGAAAATACAGGAGAAAGAAATAGTTTTCATCAAAAGCATTTTCCAGCCTGTGCCTTTCCCTTAGTGCCATTAATTTGAATTGTCCCATTTGTCCAGCTCTCTGAAACAACCTCCTGTGAAAGACAAAAAGCATTCACCTTCCTCTCCTCAGGACCATAAGCCTGAGATATGGCCTTCTTTTTGTGGCTTTAAAAGTCAAACAGCATATCAGCTGCACAATCCACAGCTAACTCTGGGCTGCTTTGGTTGCTTGTGTCTGTAAACTGCCCTGCCTGAACCAACTGTGGATCATTTCTTATTTCCATTGCATTAGGGCACTGCATCATCGTCACGTAATCACAGAATCCCAGCCTGGTTTGGGTTGGAAGGGACCTTAAAGCTCCTCCAGCTCCAACCCCTGCCATGGGCAGGGACACCTTCCACTAGAGCAGCTTGCTCCAAGGCCCTGTGTCCAACAATGACCACTAAGACAAAAAGCAAGCACCAAACTGAGTCACTAATGATGAGTGTGGGATGGTGGTGACCAGAACCTGACCAAGAAGCAGCTCCTACTGAAGCCTCCCAGGCTGAAGTGAGTCAGGCAGGGACTCGGAGGTATCAAAATCCACTGACACAAGACGTGCCAGAACTCAAGGATTTGGGTCTGATTTTTCGTCTTGCTTCACTCCCAGTTTGTGGCTTTCTTGCTCAGTGCCTTGCCACAGGCTGCCTGATCCCGTGCTTGCTTCCCTTATTCAAGTTTAAGATCAGCTGCGTTATCTTAGTCATTAATATTCTGGCATTGTCAAGAGGATTCTTTTAATTCACTTCAGTTGGCCCAAACCCAATCAAACCCAATCAAACCCTGCACACCTACTGCAGACACAATTACTACAGACCAAAGCTTACCCAGTGATTTGTACAGATCATTATGCTACAGACTCATCCTGCTGTTCCCTGGAATAGAAGAGTGGCTGCAATTAGAGATGCAAAAAAATGCTAAATGCAACTGGGGAGGCTCCCTCTAAAGTGAAGCTTCCAAGGAATCCTATAGAAAGCTCTAACACACGCTCCTCAGCTCACAGTTTACGTCAAGCCTTGTATAAAGGCACCCTAAGGAAATATATGTTAAATGAAAACTGCATTCCAGTATGCTAAATACTTCTTATGAAGTTCCTATGTCTGCTCTTCTCCAAAGAACAGATGGAGGAGAAATGCAAAACATCTCAGGCTGTAAATGAATTACTGGTTTGAAGTCTCAAACCCACAGAAGTGGTGGAGGAGAAGTTGGACAAATTCCTTTTCAGCCAACAATTCTGTTCAGACTTCTCCAGCACTACACACCTCAAAGGACTGGCAATCTCTTAATGAATTTTAGTTTTAAAGCCCCCAGCTTTGATTCAAAGCAGAGCTCATGAAAAGCAGAGCCAGTGTTTTATGAGACTTTACCTGGACAATCACTGCAGCTTTCCTCCTTTTCTGATAGGCAGGAGTCAACACAAGAAAGATATCACTCCCCTACCCAAAGCACTCAATGGAGAATAAAAGATTTGGGACCCTTCAGAAACACCTCATTACCAGCTAGAGGTAGAACAGCAGCAGAGAAGGGGACCAGGGAGCAGAGCTCAGCTCCAGAGCTCATCCCCTAAATAAGATTCAGATTCTGAGTGTGGCTATCTTGCTTCCAGGAGCAGGCAGCACGCACTGCTTTGGCCAGGCAGAGCATCTTCTTCTGCTTTCTTCATCAACTGTGACAAAACAGCGAGGGAACCATGGGCCTGGGTAAGACTGGAGGCACACCACCACCACCATCAGCACCTCCAGCCACATGCCAGGGGGCAAACTCATCTCAGCACCTCTGTTCATGAGTGGATGTATTTGTATGAGACACAGGGAGCAGCGCAGGAGATGACAGCTTGTGCTTCTCTGGAATGGTGTTAGGCATCATAAACTCAGCATAAAAATCCATATAAATCATGCCAATCTGGCCTAACTGCAGCAATAACACATCATGTAAATCCAAACAGAGGAGGCAGCACTGTAAATTGAACCTCTGGGGAAATCAGTCCATCTCTCCCATCTCCACTCTGTTTTCTCCACCAGCCATGCATGAAGGACATCCCAAGGAATACTTCTTGCATCCTCTGACAGTTATCCCATTCCATTCTCAGTTTTCCTCTGAGTAACAACACTTGGATAGAGCACGCAAATGAGACCAAGCTGAGAAAACTCTCATTCCATGATGCCAGTGCTGGGATGGGATTTGGACTCAGAAGCGCACATGGATGCATTCAGAAGCTTGAGACAAGCACCGAGGGTGGCTGCTGCCTGCTTGTAGGGAACATAAAATATTCCCCCAGTTTCAGCACTGTCCATTTTGTTCCCATTTAAGTAACTACCCTGATCTATCTTCAGAAAGGCAAATCTCCATTTCTTATTGAGAACTATGCCTAACAAAAACTGATGCCTGGTTGACAATCTATTGTAAATCCCAAGGCCCAGAAACAACGTGGCACCTCTCTATAGCATTTGCTAGGACAGATTTTTCCAGCAGAAGTGTTTACGAGTTAGACTTTCCAGTAGTGATCTGGAGCTTTCCTTCAGTATCATGTAACCTGCCTCAGTCCCACAGTGCACAGCACAGTTCCGATTTGTTCAGGTTGGGCTGCTTTGGGCTGGGGTAGGGTTATTTTTCTTCACAGTAGCAGGTTTGGGGTGTTGGTTTGGGTTTGTACTGCAGTGTTGAGCACACAGGGATGTTTCAGTCACTGCTGAGCAGCTCACACCATGAGGCTGCAATACATTCAACTCAGAACCATCACCTCCAGAAGACCAAGCCCCTGGGGCTATGATCTCCTCTCCTGAAATGGTTTTGGTTTTGTCTCCTTCCACAAGCTTTCTGGCTGGGTCACCATATGCAGAGCCAACCTTTAACAGGCAAGATATAACCATACAACCATTAAAGGCTTCCCTACAGGAAAACTCTCCTCACTCTTTTTCTTGCACTTCAGCAATAACAACAACTAAGTCCAAACACTCACATACAATGTCTGATGGGAAGCCCCAGAATCCCAGGGAACAGAGGGATAATGCTTAAAAAACCACACGCAGGGGTTAGTGGGACTGCAGGTGTTCCATACGTCTGATAACCAGTTCTGGGTTCATTATTCTTCTTTGGTTATTAGGCCATGTATTTAGTCACGTAACTTCAAGCCCCAAGGTATGAAAAGATGATCCAGAACCCAACCTTTCAGCACCTTTACCTGCAGTAAATATCACTATGATATTTACTAGAAAACCAGGAACCCAGGAAGAAACACAGCCTGATCTCCACAGTCCTCATACTCCATTGCTTTACAAGCCTTGAGCTTTCCTGGCTGGACACTGTGCTCTGAAAGCCTTGGTGTGTCTTTACAGGAGAAAATAAATCAGATAAATCAGGTCAGACTCTCTGCCAGCCACATACTGAGCTGACAGGCAAAGATGGACTGTGTGCTACCTGCTAACTCAGAAACTTAACCATTCATCAAGTACGTGGCATCATCTCTGTGCTCTAAGGACAATCAGGGATTTTTTTTTAATGTAATTGAATAATTCCAAACCCTCTTCCCTGAGAACATTGAGCAAATGCACAGTAAGGGGGAAAGAAAGTCCAGTATCGTGTTACTTGCTAGTATTAATGGACAGCCCAAGAGGTGGCATGCCTCATACCTGAGAGACCCTGCTACACTGGTTCCAGGCACACAGATGAGTACTTTGGGGTGCACCCAGGAACAGAACACCCCATTTGAGCTGAGCTAAGGCTCCTGCTGAGCACCCTGGCACTGTCACAAAGATTTCACCAGCCCAGCCCCAGGATGAGGCAGAGAAGACGGTCCTGCTCTGAAGGGCCTCCTGGCTGAGCATAAATGTAGGCTTTGACACAGCCTTTTCTCTCTTGCTCTTCCTTCACAGAGATGACCCTCACTGAGCTACATGAAGCTGGCATGCAAACCACCCAGTTTATCTGCTGCTTACAAGCTAGAAGCAGAGACAACGGAGCTTGGACAAGCTGACCTCAAACTCAGCTCAGCTTATTTCAGACTCCTCCTTAGACAATCCCTTGCCATGAATGCTGCTGCAAAGTACCAGCAAAGGGGAAACCCTACAGGGCCCGAACTCAAAGCACAGGGCAATGAAACCTCCATACTTAGAGGAGATGGGTACCACCCTCCACCCCTGTGTCAGTGAGTCCTTTTGTGTCCTTCCAGCCCCCAGCACTCACCCTTACTTACCAGACACTCGATCGACACTGTACATCCTCTCCAGCCTTTTCCTGTGCCACCCTGTCTCGCTGGACTGATGGTGCTCCAGGTCAAAGGAATGCTGGGAAGGGGCAGCCAGCCGGGTGCAGTTTGGGCACTCCTTAGAGCCCTGCCTGCTGCCTGGCCAGCCCTTGCAATGCCTGCCAGCACCATGAGAGCCACCAGCACCGTGCACTTGGTGACCGTGGTGGCATTCCTCTTGGGCAGCCCCCTTCATCACCACCAGTTCCATACTTTCATTCTCGTGGTCTGACAGCATCGGCCTCTCGCCGGAGATGGTGTAGACCCGGGGCTTGGGTCCCTCACTTGGCACCTTCTCTGCCTGCTCCTCGGTGAAGCTCCGCTCGAACTTGCCATCGGAGATGACGGAGAGCCTGCGCTTGTTCTGTGCTGTCTGCTGCATCTCCGGGGAGTCCTCCTGCCCGATGTAGGAGTCTGCCAAGAGGTGATCTGGAACAAACAGCACACTTCCCTCAAAACCAAAGCACCCCAGGCACTAGCACATTCAAGAGGCTCTTTGTTACTGCTGCAGGAAGGGAAGGGGTGAGCGGGATATGGTAGGTTCCCCCAGGAACCTTCTCAGATGAATGCATGCCCACAGCAGTCTAAACCTCCAGAGCTGGTACTGAAATGAGACACATTTCTCACAAATACACCCAGTATTTTAAGTGTGCCTGTCCACCAAACAAGGCTGGAAGCAAATGCAGGTCTCACTGCACAGCATGAAAATGCTCATGTGCAAAACAGCCCATGATCAGCTGTCTGCTTCGGCAGGTTTAGCCATGCACGGGCTGCTGGGCTGGTCAGGGTTCACAAGACAAGGACCAGCACCAGCTGGTCACAGCAGCGATAATAAAAAGTGAATGTTCTGTGCACAAAGTTATTTTTTAGAACTAAGGGTAAGGGGCAAACCACCAGGGTTTGGGGGTCATCACCCCCCCCCCCCCCAATTTTCTGCCAATTAGCTTCATAGAACCACAGAACCAACCAGGTTGGAAAAGCCCTTAAAGGGCTCATCCAGTCCAACCGTTCCCAGCACTGCCAAGGCCACCACTGACCCATGGCACTGAGGCCTCGTCTCCACGCTGTGTGAACACTTGCAGGGACGGTGACTGCAGCCCTGCCCTGGGCAGCCTGTTCCAATGCCTGAGCACCCTCTGGGGAAGGAATTGTTCCTCAGCTCCATCTAAACCTGCCCTGGTGCAGATTGAGGCCGTTTCCTCTTGTCCCATCCCTTGTTCCTTGGGAGCAGAGCCCAGCCCCTCCTGGCTCCATCCTCCTCTCAGGCACTTGTAGGCAGCGATCAGGTCCCCCCTGAGCCTTCTCTTCTCCACACTGAACCCCCCAGGTCCCTCAGCCCTTCCCCATCACACTTGTGCTCCAGGCCCTGCACCAGCTCCATTGCCCTTCTCTGGCCCCACTCCAGCACCTCAATGTCTCTCTTGTAGTGAGGGGCCCAGAACTGAACACAGGATTTGAGATGCAGCCTCACCAGCACTCAGTGTAGGGGCAAAACCACTGCCCTGGCCCTGATGGTCACGCTGTTGCTGATAAAGGCCAGGATGCTGGTGGCTTTCCTGGCTGCCTGGCTCATGTTCAGCTCTGTCAATCAGCACCCCCAGATCCTTTCTTGATGTGAAAGAAAGGCAGCTGGATGTGAAAGAACTGCAGAAGGCCTTCAGCTGACAGCTGCAACCAGCACCCTGCTCTCCACAGCACCCCTGGTTAGCAGACTTCATCCTGTGTGCAGATGGTGACAGCACAGCCAGAGGATGCTGTCCTGAAGGAAAACACAGCCGCTGCCTTTGTAGGGTAGGAAGATGGAAAGCAGAGAGGCCCATGAGCACAACTATCTTCGGAGCCCACACACTGGATGAAGTGCCAGGAAATCTCAGCATTTCCATGGCAATTCCATGCATGAACCCAACAGTAGCTCCCACCCACCTGCTAATCCTTTTCAAGTGGCTGTTAATTACCTCTCAGACTTCCCTCAGCTGGGAAGCAGCAGGGGTTGGGAAAGGGCTCAACAGGCAATGCATTATTCATGTGATGGCTACCCGAGAACCCAAAATCATCAGTGGCCAGCACAGACAGCAGCACTTGAAACACAGGCAGAAACAAACCCCAGCCTTTACTTCATTACCTTTCCTTTAGCTACTGAGCCACGACCTGGAAGACCGCAGCAACAATCTTGGCTCCCTCATAGCTGGCCATGATGGTCTGATGTATGTGTGCAACACAGAGCTTCCACTGCTGCCACACTCTGCTTCCTATGAAGTGCTCTTGTGCCCCTCTGAAAAGAGCCCTCCCAAGCTGAGGATGCACATTTGCAGCTTTTGATTCTGAAGCCCCCCCTGGGTTATGCCCACGTTGCCCAGGGCCTCTGCACTGCTCTGTCTGCAGCTGAGACTGAACTGAATTGAGCTGGTACTGGCACAGTGCGTCACCCTGATCTCATTTTTCTGCTTGAGACACAACTCCCTCGACACCACTATGAGACAAATGCATCTCTGGCCACTCCTGATCAAGAAGTGACCATCAGGACCATGCAGACTGACACAACTTGGGTTCATTTCACTTGGCTCCTAGTGAACCCTCACAGTCTCGACACGGCAGCTGACAGCTTGAGCTGACCAGGAGGAGCTGCCTGTACAGAAAGCCTCTTGAGCCTCTTCTGATGTTACCTTTGCAGACTGCACATGGAGTCTAAAATCCATGCCTAGGTGCAGTGAGGAGCCATGCAGTCCAACCAGTGCAGAAAGTGTCTCCAAAGTCTCTCCATCCACTTGTCACCCCCCAAGAGGCAGCAGCCACTGCATTTGTTTTCCAGCAAGTCAGACCCTCTCCAGTTCCAAGACTGATTGTGCTCCAGAGCAGGCACGTCTTGGGAAAACACCAGCAAACGACTCCAAGATCTGCCAAGATGTGTGCTGGCTAATAGTGCCAAGCACACCATCTTGAAAATGAAAAACAAAGGCCAGTTCCAAGTACTCATCTCAGCTTGTCAAACTTACTAACGCGTGTGGGCTCAGTGACGCTACAATTTCTTAAGACCACAAAATAGTGGCTGACAGCTGCCCTGTTCCTCCTGAAATTAATACTTCCGTGGAGGACACGGAGCCTCAGGGGAGCAACCCACAGGACTGAGCACCTGTGCTCACGCACTGACAGCACCACAACGCAGATTGAGGACTTGGCACCTCTGTGGGTGGGTAAATGGAAAAATGAAGTACCCCAAGTACGGTATGTCTGAAAATGCTGATGGTTGCAAGTGCAGAGACCAGCTCCTGCCTCTGCTTCATGACCACCAACGTCTGTTCAACCCATAAGACTTAGAGATTTAAGTGGGATGTGACTATAAAATCACAGCAGGGTTACTCTTGACCAGATGTATTTGACATAAACCACCTGTCTGATCTAGCATGCAGAATGCAAGCATAATCCTTTCTTCCCACCTTACTTGTCTGTTACTCAAGGTGTCTTCACCTGTGCTTATCTAAGAGTTTTCATGGTCTACACTCCACAGTCCTGTCACTACAGCAGTATGCTTTCTCTTTGTCCAAGGACTGGATGATTATTTCTTTTCATTTAATTTAGCACCTTTGGTAACTACACAGCTTCATATGCAAAGGGAATGTGAAGCTCTTATAGAAGTTAATAAAGAATATATCTACACAAAAAAAAATAGCATGAAAGGAAAAGAGATTCAAACATCCATCAGAATGAATTACTGGCTTCTAAAGACAAACCTGCACCATTCAGGGAGCAAATCTGTGCTAACATTCACGCACACACATGTTCACATACACCAGCACCACTGAGATAGCACCAGGGACTGATTCCCTTGTCTGTGCTTCCAGAGGTGGGATTCAGATGCCAAAGCACTGCACCTGCCTCCACTATGGCATTTCAGATCAATAGTTCTGCTAGAAAAGTGAAACTGGTCTGAAATCAATGCTGAATTGAACCTGAGCCAAAGGGATGCTCAGTGAAGAGGACAAGGTAAGAGGGTACTCCAGCAGTGACAGGAGTTGCCCCCTCAGAGTTAGCTGCAGCAGACTGCTGTTAACATCCTCTGCATGGATACTGCTGCTCTGCCTCATCTTCACGTCACACTTGCCACCTCTCCCACACCCAGCTGCTCCATCCAACTGCTCAGCAGCCCAGGACAGTGTGACTTGGGAGGCCTGGCATAGCTCCCTCCCCTCCAGGCCCTGAGGAAAGCTGACCCAGTGGCAGCTCTGCTCTCCCTCTTTCACTAGCAGCACCCTTGTTTGCCCTGGAGCAGACAACTCAGGTTACTCAGATTTCTTTTCAACTAGATCTGTGGTCTACATGGATTTATTGTGCCCAAATATCAGCAAAATGAAGGGAAGAGGACCAACATGCTGGATCTGTGAATCATGTCTCTTGAAAACCTGTATTTTCATCACTTCCCTGTTTACCTGGGCTAAGTCTAACAGCCTGCCCAAGCCTGGGGGCTTGACAGTCCAGTGCCAAGGACGAATCCACTTCTCAACCCCCTTGTTATTCACTGAACACGTTTCTTTGGCTTCACTTGCTCCTCTTGATATTTCTCTTCACCTTCTACACAACACAATCACTAGGGCATGTGTGTCACCAGAGACATAACTACCAACAGCAACTAGCACCTGTACTGGTTAATGTGTGCTACCTTGGTACATGTAGTTCCCGATAATTAGACACTACTTACAATTATGCTTTCCCATTCAGTAACTAACATGAGAACTTGCTCTGACCCAGGTAGGTAATCATGGAAGAACTTCCATGTTCTCTTTTGCTGTCACAATGTGCCTCAAGAGGAGGCAACACACTGCGATAAGCCTCAGCTGACTGATGCCTATTGATAACAGTGGAGGGACTCACCAAGCCAAACTCATCTCTGATGCAGGCTGCCTTCTAACCCCATGGAATGGGAAGTTTATAAATCAAGGTGGAATACAGCCATAAGGCATAGGCAGAAGCTTAAAAAAAGTCCAAAATTTATGACTAACAGCTTAACTGATGATTAAAGCACCTTAGATTTAAAACCTCAGCTCCAGCATCAGAAGCAAAGTGGCAAAGGGGAATCCAGATAAGGCCTATTAAAAACACATCCGTCATCTCAGAAAACATAAATTTAACAGGAACAGTTCTCTCCCCTGCTCCACCTCAGCTGGATTCTCCAGACCAGGTGTTGATGGTACTGACTTTAAATGAAAGAACTGTCTCAGCTACTGAAGAATGAGAAGATTTTAGCTGTACAGTACATGGACCTGCAGCACTGTTCACAGCAGTTGGAATGAAGTTAATGCTTTTTCATTTTACACCAGGAGGGGTCCAGGTGACACTCTCAATGAGGAGAGCAGATGGATGCAGTGGCTAGAGCCCCAGGCACTGCAAAACCAGGAACATCTTTTCAGACAGCACAGCTGAGCAGCTCCTCTCAC